CTCATATTTTGCTCTATTTTTGCTATCGATAAAACAGAGCAAAAAAACGTTAAAATTTTACCGACGTTAGAAAAGTCACGTGACCACTCTAGCCCCTTAATACAATAATTATTACAATACAATAACAAAATCTACAATCCAATTTTGAAAATAGTAAGTAATCGAACACCAAGTTCGATATCCAGATGACACTATCGTCTCCAGTATTCGGGAAGGGAAAAAAACAAAAGAGCGTAACATGTGCCAGTCGAGCCAGTGTATCGGTATCGGTTAGGTTCATCGTTTTGCAACGACAAGCAGTTTTCCTTCAATCAGCAAGTGTCGCTACAAGTTCAAATTGAATCCTGTTCCCAGAAACCAATCAGTGTTCTCTAATCAATTTTCACATTAATTTCGAACCTATCCCAGACGAAGTTGTTCCTTCGTCAGGTTTCGTGTTGCGAACAAAGTATCTCTGGTTCGACCAGCACCGATTGATAAGTGCGAACAGATTATTCTCACTTCTTGTCCGAGAAGAAGCGAGACAGTCATAAGATGGAGGGAGATAGTCGCAGGGACGAGTCCGAGGATGACGTGAGCGTGATTGCTGTGATAGGAAAAGAAAACGATCGAGCCTACCGGGGTGACGAACGATCGGGAGAGAAACAAGAACAGGAGGATCGATGGGTGTTCGAGTTGAGCGACGAACGATGCAAAATGGCACTCCGTAAGCAGTTCGACCTCGACTCGTTGTCGACGGAGACAGAGGAGTACGAAGGGATCGAGGTCCTTCAAAAACTCCCTCCGGGGACGATAGTCATCAAACAGGACAAGAAGTATAAAGACGACAGCGATTACGTGAGGGACTCCACTGAAACCAGCAGTGGTGGCTCCACTTCTGGCAGTGGCCCACCCAAAGTCAGGAGGGTCCATCGGGCTACGAGGAAAACGTACGTTTTCCATTATTCTATGATTTGTCTCTTTAGAAATATCCTTTTTCTTTGTATTTATTCAAATNTTATTATCATTTCAATAATACAATTATTATTTAATTTTTCTTTAATTCTTTATTCATTGCATTTTCTAAATTTTTTTCAAATATGCTTTATTAAATTATATTTAAATATGTCTCTTCTTACATTCTTACATACAAGAATAATCAAAAATGTGTTTTTTAAATTAACATTAGATACATTTCTTAAAATCATTCTCTTCTTCTTTGCAAAGATTAAAATCCTGACTCTTAATATACTAATTAATAAACTGTGAATTTCTGTGTATTTATAAAATATATAAAAGTACTGAATTAAACGTATCCTGCAGGTCGGTCTGGCTGCCGAGTACCTGGGGCGATATTTCACAAGTCTGGACGGTTTTTCATATCGAGAGATCGTCGATCGACCAGAGATAGAAGTAGTATCCGTGGACCCCCGCTGTGACCTTCTATCCTCATCGAAGAAGCGTAGCAGAAAAAGCAAAAGCAGATCAAATTCGAGGACAAGTCCTTCTGACAGTAAATCCTTTGAGAGCTGCATGCACGAGAGTCTACACTGCGTTTTGGGTTATTGTTCTCAATTAATGACACCGTCGTACGAAGCAAACGTCGAAGGGAAGTTAAACGTCTTAAACGACATCATGAGATCGTCAAACACTCCAAAAGAAACTGAGAGTACCAACACAAACGACCAAACAAGAAACGAGCCTTCCGTCAGTTCCAAGGAAGGATTACAAAAGTCCGAGGAGAATAAATTTCTAGATAATTACACGGTGGCTATGATACCCCAGAACAGCTTCACGCAGATGCCAAAGGCGAGGTTATTCCCCGCTCAGAAGGTCTACGTAGCGAATTCGCAGAAATCCATCGCCTTCGCTAATCTAAAAACGTTCCCATCTGGCCAGATGAAGATTCAAGACATGATGCGGTCGTCTAAGACCCCTTTTATTCTCGTCAACCCTTCAGAGGTGAAGGAGAGCCAAATTCTTAAGCCAGTGAATAACGTAAACGTGATCAAAGTCGAGGAATCGTCCACCGAAGAGACTTTAGGAGAATTATCCTCAATTTACACCAACGACTCGAACGACTTAAATGCCAAGCAGGCATCGAAGAAAGGGAACAAAGTCGAGTTCACTGTGACTAAATATTTGCTGGACAACATGCAACAGACTAAATTTCAAATTGGCAGAGACTCCACTTCTAATGAAAAAAAGTTATTCAACGAAACTCCTAAAGAGTTAAACACGAAGAGTCCTGCTGGTTCTAATAAAACTTGGAGCACGAGTGACGCTGCAGAGATTGCAAAGATCCTCTCAGAGTACAATAAAAGCAATTTAAAACGCCCTGCCATTGAAAACCAGACTTCCTTCTGTGGCATGAAGAACATAAGAGTAAAAGAATTGTCTAATAAAGACGAGAATCCAAAGCAAGGTTTCAGTGAAAGCCCTACAGATAGAAACGTGAATATAACATTTCCTCAAGGAAAGTGGCGACGGTTTCACTTAACAGTGGAGAAGTTGAAGGATCTTAAAAACAGCCCCAGTGAAAAGAAGTCGATTTCCACTGTGCAGAGCAGGCAGTCGATTTTTAAAATCGATCAGAGTGGCGAAACTTCTGAGAAGAGAGTCGAAGCTCCCAGATTTGAAACGATTCAACGAGGCCAGTCGAGTTTGCAAGAGGAGAGCACGTCTATGGTGAATGATTCCTGTAAACCACAAAGACAGTCTTTGCAAGATTTATTAGAGAACACTGCTATGCTGTACTGTGCAGCCACTGGCACTCATCAGGATGATTTATCCAGTTACGTTGATAGTTTAGATGTTGCACAGAGTACACAATGGCTAGAGATCTGTAACAATTATATTATTTAGCTATCGTGTTCTATTTGATTAATTAATAACGTTAGTTATTCATTTTCTTAATCACAAGATTATTTAACTTCATGTATTATATTATTTCTTTTAATAATTATTGAAGTCCGTATTTAAGTTATAGAAAGACAAGGAAGGTCTCAGTTCCTTTATTTAAAACAATTCACATATCTCTACGTAAGTAGAATTATACAAATTAGTTAATTCTCGCAAACGTTACAAATTATTTTAGACTCTAATTCGTGCTCGGTTTTCTAGTTCACTAAAAGAGGTGCTGTTTTAATCGATACCCTTAGAATTTCATCGTTCTCGAAAACGATAATCAATTTATTTAAATGATATCCGCGGTTCTTTAAGTTGAAATGATTGTAGCACAGTTAGTTAATTGGTATGAAAGGTATTGGTTTGTTGATTCTGCTGGTCAGTACTATGCCGCCATTGATCCCAGCGTGAATCAGGATCATACAAACGACTAGAATCGCAGAATAGAGGAAGAGAAGGGCGATTATACCGAGGCTCCGTTGTCAGTCTCTGTTCTGCCTTCGTTTTCTATGGGCGTACCTGCGAAACGAAACGTTCTCAAGTTAACTCAGGGAGGCCTTTAATTATTTTTCTACTTGCAGGACGTTCGATTTTTAAATGGGTGTCTGACATTAAATATAATAAACGTTAATAAT